GGCATTTGATACAGTACCCCATAAAAGCTTCATTTACAAATTAAGGTGCTTTGACATTGAGGAGATTGTATATTCCTGAACAGATGGTGTGCAACCAGATGGTGATAAATGGCATATTTTATGAATGGCCTGAAGTTTTGAGTGGGGTACCCCCAGAGCTCTGTCCTTTAGACCAGTTCTGTTTAACTTGTTCATAAAGGATATAGCAGTTGTAATAAATAGTTTAGAGTATGTGAACCCCCACCTTGTAATACAACCCATTCCGTTTAACCATTTCAACCACTTAGAACGTGCCCATATGTCCTCAGGTGAAGTGGTTATCCTGGGATGATGCCTGCACCATCAGGTTTTGGTTTGATGTTTGTATGCAGTTACTGGCTTGTAACTGATTGGTTTGTATGCAGAACTGCACCAGATTTTGCACGCTCCAGTTTTAGTAAATCAAACCCTATGTAACCCCTATGTAACCCCTTTGATATAACATATTACAGTGTATTTTCAAGCACCACTTTTTTTAAGACAAGCTGCAGCATAATGTTATGATAAATGGGAGTTTGATCCCAATCCCTGCTGTATGTAACATTGATATAACATATGGACGTAAACATTTGTTTTCTCTGAATTTGATATTGTATTCCTTCCATACTGCTTTTTGTAGGTGAATATGTGAATTTAAAAAAATACACATTATAGATAAAAAAGAAGAGAAAAAAAAATATCCATTCTCCTAAGTATACTATATAAAATACAGTTATAGAAGAGATATCTAAAATTATTGAAAGAAATAATGGCATTGGGTACACATTTTTGATCATCACATAAGTTAATGCTATATAAATGATGGCAAGTTAATTCTCAGCACCACATGATGGGTTTATACTTTTCCTCTCTGTTGTGTAGGGAATTTTTTGGATGATCTTTCCAGTATCACCTTGCTTACCTTCATTTTGTGAGAGTGTCAACTATTTTGCATATGTAGTATATTTCTGTGTCACCTCCTTATGAATGCTTGGAGGTCTTATAATCTAAGGGTATGTCTGTAAGAGATAGGGGTAATTTCCAGAAGCATCGAGATGATGCCAGCCTTATCTTATGAAACATCTGATGGACATGGTGGGCATGTACAATTACGTAACCAAGCAATATATTATTTTGTAATTGGTTAACTATGAATATATAACCATTTGTAATGGCCAGTGATGTCTGGTGTTTGTTATCTTGATTGTACAGTACTTAAACCGGCACTTCACACAAAGGCTTCCTCCACCCTCCTCTTCAACTTTTGGCACTTTACTTTTTGTCAGGAGAGCGGCTGCTTGGTTTTGACAGGTACCCACTGTGATAATTGTGCGCACAGATATGGACAATGACAACCATAATTTGGATCATACTCTGCAAATGTCATTCTCACTCCAAATCATTCTCTCCCCCCTCCTTTTCTTTGAATGGAATGTGGTCTAAGTGTGTGCTGAGTTCAGGAGTGCACAGGGCACAGCTGGATATGCTTCATGGATATAAACCCAATTAGCTGGTTCCAGGATGTCTGTCAGGCTCTTTCCTTGGCCTGGTCGTAAAGCTATAAATCCGCCAGTCAATGGACATGAAAGCATTCCAGTGTGGCAGTAAAACATACATCCCACTTGAAACGACTTTTTCATACAATTTCATAAATCCTGGCAGGAACAAGGTACAATAAAACAAAGCACATATTCAGATAGGTCATTTTAATACGAGTCACCTGATACCTTACAGCCCTGGGTGGCGTCTACAGGAGAGTAGAAAGCCATGTAATTTTATCTGGAACGGTAAGATATGTCATATTTGATGTCTGGACGTTCAGGATATCATTCTGCATATTAATCTGCCAGTGGTTAGGATGCTACATGGACCTATAGAAGGTTATTGACCATGGTATAAACGCAAGAGGGATTTGGTCATAGCCAGGGTCCCCGCCTAAACACCCCTCCCCAAATGAGGTGATTGGTTCTCTGCTTTAATGAGACACCCTGCTGGGTTCCTAGAAAACAGGCTGTCATGCCTGGAGAGAGAGATGCAGATATTCTCCCTTTTAACATCAGGAACCAACTTTGGGAGAAAAGGCACCCTTTTGTTCTGACACTTGAACGCTGCTTAAGCCAGGACTTGTGCAAGTATTCTACCTACTTAAACTTATTTCTTTTATCTCTCAGTTGTGTTATTTCTTTCTCTCTCTCTCTCTTTATATATATATATATATATATATATATATATATATATATATTGGTTACATCTTTTCTGTTAGTATTTTTATTGCACCATTTTGACCTTTTTAGTAATAAATCCTATTTTCTGAAAAGTGTTGAATTGTTTCTAAAGCTCTTTAATGCAAACTAAGAATCCCTGTCTCTGAAGAGTGCTACTGTGTGTTTTAAAACCTATGGATACATCTGTCTGCGGTGACAGTGTGTATAAAGTACAGACGTTTATTTAAACATCATAGTGTTACTGCTAAGATTTGTAAGTTTCCTCCTCTGTAAAAAAATGGTGGTGGCAGTGTGAAGGGTTAATTGCGTAATTAACCGTTTCCATACCAGGCACTTTTACCCCCTTCCTGCCCAGGCCATTTTTCAGGTTTCAGCGCTCTCACAGTTTGAATGACAATTGCGCGGTCATACAACATTGTACCCAAACTAAAATGTTATCATTTTCTTCACACAACTAGACCTTTCTTTTGGTGGTATTTAATCACCACTGGGGGTTTTTATTTTTTGCTAAATTAACAAAAAAAGACCAAAAATTTTGAAAAAAAAAAAAATTTTTCTTTGTTTCTGTTATAAACGTTTGCAAATAAATAATTGTTCTTCATAAATTTAGGCCAAAATGTATTCTACTACATGTCTTTGATGAAAATAACCCAAATTAGGATGTATTTTTAAGTTTTGTACGAAAGTTATAGAGTTCACAAACTATGGCATAGATCTGAATATTGATCAGTCCTGAAGTACTGACAGCCAATCTCATTTCTTGAGGTCCAAGAATGTCAGAACAGTACAGATATCCCCCAAATGACCCCTTTTTGCAAAGTAGACAGTCCGACGTACTTCATTAGAGGCATGGCGAGTTTTTTGAAGTTGCATTTTTTTGTCATTTTGCGAAAAATGAAAAAATAAAAAAAATTATTTTCACTATTTTTTTTTTTTTTTACATACTGTCACCAGTGCAGTACAGCGTCATCATATAACTGGCATGGCGGTGATCAGGGACACTGACTGGTGACAGTATGGAAAAAAAATATATATATATTTTTTTATTATTATTTTTAATTTTACATTTTTTTTACGTTTTTTTTTTTTTTCATATTTCACTATGACCGAAGTAGTACAATGTTACCATAGTAACATTGTACTACTTTGGGGAAGTGATCAGTATTTTCTTTTTTTTTTTTTTTTATTTGCTTTGCTATAAGCAAGCATTTACCTGAATGACATCGATTCATTCAGGGTTTTTTTTTTTTTTTTTTTTGTTTTTTTTTTGTGCTTAGCTGTGTGATTTGCCCAGCTTGTGCATGTGATCGCTGTGACCAATCACAGCTACGCACACTAGTATACAATGGATGGCATGAATGAAGCCATCCATTGTATACAACTGTCATGTGACCTGCTGTGATTGGTCACAGCAGGTCACATGGTATTGGCAACGGGGCCGGTACTCAGATCTGTCATTGGCCGTGTCCGAGGTACACGGCCGGTGACAGATCGCGCCGCTGCGTGGCTCTGCAGGCGCGCAAACTGCGCATGCCCGGGAGGATGCCATATGGCGTCCACCCGGAACGCTAATGGATTTTGCACTCCGCCATTCGGCCATTGGCCAGGCAGCTAATGGGTAACCTGACCCAGTAACAATCGCTCTCAGGCTGTTGGCACCTAGATTGGAGTCCAGTGAGCTGGGAAATCTTTGTGCAGGGTGCAGCTGAGAGTGGCATTGTTACGCAAGTGGCAGCACGATTTTAGATTGGCTAGTCCTTCGTTCACAAGGTGGTGAGAAGGATTGGGGTCTGACACCGCGCCTGTCACACCCACTATCACTTTCTCCCTGGAAATCTGAGAGGAGGCTCGGTTTGGTTCCCCCACTCTTTGCCAGCAACCTTCTGGGACACATCACAGGTGTCAGAAGATGTGGAAACAGTCACAAAGCTTGGCACAGCTCACACTTGCACAGTGGGAAGCCGGTTGTTAAGTCACAAGGAGACCAGTAAAGAACTGGCCTGGATAAGGATGGCACTGGATCCTTGGACAGGTATTGCCCTTTTATTAAAAGTCAGCAGCTACAGTATTTGTAGCTGCTGACTATTGATTGTTTCTTTTGAGGGTGAAGATCCTCTTTAAAAACTATCTGAAAATAAGCCGTAGTAGTCTTCTATTTCACTGGCTAACCCACACATTTGATCAGAATGTATAATAAACTCTTATCTAATTTGGACCTTGTCACAGACTTGTTGTCTCTTTTGGGACAACTTCATATTCACTGTGCACAGGACACTATATTTGCCGCTCTGTGGATGAGGTATGGTCAACCAGCTCACCCATTAGCTTGCACTCAGGCTTGCTCAGGGTGGACCCTCCATATGCAATGTCTTTTTAAAAAATGATTAGCACATCCGACCTAACATAAAACTCTTTTCTAAGGTAGCAAAATAGCAATCTAGTCAGATAATGCGTTTCAACATTTAGTGGGCCTTTTTCAAATCCATTTGCATTTAAAAAAAAACCTGGTGAAGATCAAGTGCATTATTCTTCTTGGGCGCTATATTATGACCGTTTTAATTTGAAAAAAATGTTTGTAGATGCTGATTGTTTTTTTTTTTTGTTTTTTTTTTTTTAAATGACATTGTAAAAGAGATATACAAAATGAATTTGAGAATGACATTGTATACACATAACTGAGCATCACATTTTTTATGCCATATGAATGTGTTAACCCGAGCACATTATAGACAGTTGTCTCTTCTGTTTGTCACCTAGTCTCTTGTCTGCTTATGAGAACTGTTCTACTGAAGAGAAGGAAAAACTACTGTCAAGCGTGAAATGTGGGAAGCTTCAGAGGTATGTGATACAAAATGCAGTGCTATACTTTTTGTTACCACTGTCTTTGTGTAAAACATTTACTGTATACTTTAGTCAAAAAAATACTCCTGAGTATTTGTTAGATATACACAGTTGTGTTCAAAATAATATCAGTGTGTTGAAAAAAGTGAATAAAGCTCAAAATCCTTCTAATAGCTTTTATTTCCATACACACAAATGCATTGGGAACACTACACATTCTATTCCAAATCAAAACATGAAGAAAAATATATTAAATTTGTGTTGTTCCTCTAAAAAAAATTGAAGAAAAGTGAATATTAGACTGTTCAAAAAAATAGCAGTGTTTGTATTCTTTACAAACTCAAACATTCACTATATAAACTGAAAAATGTTTGAAGATTTTGCTTTCCTTTGAATCACTTAATTAATATTTAGTTGTATAGCTACTGTTTCTGAGAACTGCTGTATATCTGTGTTGCATGGAGTCAACCAACTTCTGGCACCTGTGAACAAGTATTCCAGCCCAGGATGATTGGACTACATTCCACAGTTCTTCTCTATTTCTTGGTTTTGCCTCAGAAACTGCATTTTTGCTGTCACCCCACAAGTTTTCTATTGGATTAAGATCCGGGAATTGGGCTGGCCACTCCATAACATCAATCTTCTGGAACCAAGACGTTGCACGTTTACTGGTGTGTTTGGGGTCGTTGTCTTATTGGAACACCCATTTCAAGGGCATTTTCTCTTCGGCATAAGGCAGCATGACCTCTTCAAGTATTCTGATGTATTCAAACTGATCCATGATCCCTGGTATGCGATTCATAGGCCCAACACCATAGTATGAGAAACATCCCCGTATCATGATGCTTGCGCAACCATGCTTCAGTGTCTTCACAGTGTACTGTGGCTTGAATTCAGTGTTTGGGGGTCGTCTGACAAACTGTCTCCGGCCACTAGACCCAAAAAGAACAATCTTACTTTCATCAGTCCACAAAATGTTGCGCCATTTCTCTTTAGGCCAGTCAATGTGCTCTTTGGCAAATTGTAACCTCTTCAGCACGTCTTTTTTTTCAACAGTGGGACTTTGCGGGGGCTTCTTGCAGATATCTTGGCTTCACATAGACGTCTTCTAATTGTAACAGTACTCACAGATAACTTTAGACCTTCTTTGATCTTCCTGGAGCTGATTGTTGGCTGAGTCCTCGCCATTTTGGCTATTCTATCCATTCGAATGGTAGTTTTTCGCTTTCTTCCACGTCTTTCAGGTTTTGGTTGCCATTTTAAAGCATTTGTTATCATTTTAGCTGAGCAGCCTATAATTTTCTGCACTTCTTTTATATGTTTTCCCTCTCCAATCAACTTTTTAATCAAGTTACACTGTTCTTCTGAACAATGTCTGGAACGACCCATTTTCCTCAGAATTTCAGAAAGAAATGCACTGTAAGCAGCATGCTGCCTTCCTTCCTTAAATAAGGGCAATAATTGCCACCTGTTTTTCAAAGAATGAATGACCTCACTAATAGAACTCCACACTGCTATTATTTTGAACATGCCCCTTTCAATTAGTGATTCAATTACACAGAATCATCAGCATGCATGTCATGACTGTTGGGTCTGTTGGATTTCTATTACTCTACTACACCTGCTAGTAAATTATTTGCCATGTAGAAATATTATTTCTACCAAAAACAGTAATTGATCAGGTTAGTGATGTCTGACTATTATTTTGAACACAACTGTACATGCGCTTACCAGACTGCAAACTTCTGAAACTCTGGTCATTTATCAGAAAGCTGCTTTATGAACGTGATTCTCTGTGTATCCTCTAAAGCAACCACAAGGTGCTGCAAAGGAGCTACAATTCTCAGCATTTCTGAAACATTGGGAATGTATTTCTGAATATGCTAAACTCATGGCTCTGCAAAGATCTGTTGCTTTCTTATGACATTTTATACCTTTTCCTACTGTGTAACATTGGATAAAATTTCTGTGACAGGCTTAACCAGTCATGCTGTTCCAATGCAGTAATATTTGTGAAACTACTAACTAGAAGCAAATACCCAAATCGGATGCTGTATGCTTGTTGTAAGTCAAATGTCTCAGAAATTATTAAAGCAAATTTCACCTAGGCAGCTATCATTTTTAAAAGGCAATTGGTAATGGCAGCCTACTTATTTTTCTTAATGCATAATTACATTGAAGGTGAAGTCCAGGCAAACCGATAAATACAGATGAACCACATGTATGGGGTCTGTTTTACCTGCGAAATAATTTGTATTTGTGACCATCCAATCCTAAAATTTACACAGCTTTGATTTTATTTCTCATTCATAGAGAGACACAGAAAGTTTCTCATCTTCGAGTTATACTGCTGCCTACACTGGACATTGGCAAACAGCAGCCACACAGAACTCCGATATTATATCTGTTCCTGCTGCCTGCCTACAGTGACATGAACAATGAATGAATGGATGCCATTCATAAAAATTATTACTTTTAACAGTAATCATCACTGTTATAAGCAATCATAGTGTAAAAAAAAAATGTTGATCACTTCCCCATAGTAATACAGTGTCACTATGACAACACTGCACTGCTCTGCTCACAGTATGTAAAAAAAAAAAAAGTGGAAAAAATGAAAACAAAAATTGAAAAACATATTTTTTCTTATCTACATATTGTTGAGTAACCAACTGGTAAACGGTTTAAAGTCTTCTCCCAAAAATCTGTTCTCGCAAATGAGCTCTGATCTTCGCCCTATCCAGGCTGTGAATTCGCTTTGCCTGACTATGGCTGACTATTCAGAATCCATTAATAGGGACCCAGATACTGTTGAGGTTGATCCTTTGCTTTATAGAATGGCTGTATCTTTAAATTTCAGTTGCGACGGTCTGCAGGAAATTTCCCATCTCTCACAGAGGTCTTCTCAATACACATGCATATTGCACTTTAGTTAAAAAACACTGGGCTGCGGAACTTTTACATAAGAAGCTTATCATCTGCATGGCCTTCAAGGATTATGGGGTTGATTTACTTAAAGCAAATAGGCTGTGCATGTTGCAAAGTGCATTTGCTCCAGAGTTTAGTAAATAAGCATGAGCTCTGCTGACTTCAATCATCCATCATCACATCCAATTTTCCTTGCATATGATTGGATATTCTTTGCAAAGTGGAGCTTTACCTCATTTACTAAGTTCTGGAGCAACTGCACTTGCAGAGTGCACAGTCTATTTGCCTTTAGTAAATCAACCCCAATGTCTTTTCAGACCAGACCATTATCAGCAGAGGAAGCCCAGCCACAAACTGGGCAGGTTCATCCCTTTCTGAGGGTCAGTATAAAAGTCTTTTTTTCATTGTACCAGTCCTGCAGCATCCACATTCAGAGCCCAGGGTTCCACCCTGCCCTGTCAAAGCACAGTCTATTAGATCTGTGAGTGCTTCTTGGCCTTCATCAGGCAACTGATTTGCAAGACTGACAACTAGTCCACTGTTCACAAAGTGAAAATGTGAACTAACACAATACACCCTACACTCCCCTTCCCCCCCTCCCGGTCCCCAATGTCTTTATCTCTGTAGCTACTGAGCTAGTGTCAGTCCAGCAGTCCAGGAACATGAAATCCCCCTGCTCTTCTCCCTCTTCTCTGTGCAAGTCTTCCAGGACAGACCAATCAGATTCACTCTGTTCTGTCCTTGATGTGCTCCACAGAGAAAAGTGAGAATGAGAAGAGTGGGGATTTCACATCCTTGGACTGGCCCATTGGTATTGACAGCTCAGCATCCTTGGAGGTAAGTACAGTGGAGACGGGGGGTACGGTATTACTTCTTATTTTCATATTCATTATTTGAGATGTTGGTTTTTTTTTTTCTCCCATTGTGTATTGTTGCACCCTTTGTAAAGGATGGTTGGAGCCCATCTCTCCGTCCAATAACATTTTCCCCTTAGTGAGGATTATATGACCTGGGTTAGAGCACTAGCTGTCCAGTCCACACCTTTGTCATGGCAAATTCAATATTGGTTTGACCCTTTCTTCGTCTAGCTTTGATTCAGGAATTGATCCCTTCTGTAATTTTTGTACAGATCTCCATATCTGTTGGATCTCTCAGTGGCTAATGCCTGCCCTATTTTCTTTTCAGTGTCCCACATTTTAAGATTGCCTAAAGTCCTGTGTACCTTAATGGACAATATAGAAAACAAGAATCTATTAAAGTGGATGTAAACCAGTAAAGTCATGAAATCTGAACAGAGCACAGCTATCTGTTGTGTTTGCTTGTCTCTCTCCAAAAGTGTTGTTTCTCTCTGGTGCTTCTTTCTCTGTTATCAGCATGTGTCACTTCTGAGAAGTTTTCCTGACACATGAGATACATTTGGGGGGGGGGTCAGAGCTCAGCAGACAGCTTGTCTGTTCAGAACATAGCTTCTGTTTGCTGTGTGGAGGGGGGGGGGTGTTCCTTTCCCCAAGTCAGCTCTCAGCTCTAACAGCAGCTCCCTACCCCCTCCTCTTTAATACTGAGAAATGCAGAAGGATTTTACCTAAAATTAGCCCTTTTAACTAGTTGCCCACCGCAGATAGCCGAATGACGGCTGCACTGCGGCTGGCCAGTTTTGGGAGGGCGTCATATGAAGTCCTCCCAGAATGCGCCCTCCTGCGCATCCTACGGACACAGCTGATCATGTGATGTGGTAAAAGGCCAATCACAGCGGCCTTTTACCACATGATCAGCCATGTCCAATGACACGCTGATCACCGGGAAATACAATTGCCGGTTCTCGGCTGCACTTTCCTCACTCTGTCAGAGCGTGAGGTAAGTACTGCCAAGAACTGGCATTTGTCAGAGCAGGGATCGGCACCGATCAGCAGGGCACTGATGATTGGTGCCCAGCAGTGCCACCCATGAATTCCGCCCACCGCCCAGTAGTGCCACCCACCTGTGCCCAGCAGTGCCACCCACCTGTGCCCAGCAGTGCCGCCCACCTGTGCCTAGAAGTGCCCACCAGTGCTCATCAGTGCTGCCCAGTCAATGCCACCCAGCAGTGCCGCCAGTCAGTGCCCAGCAGTGCCGTCTATCAGTGCTGCCTATCAGTACCCATCATCAGTGCCAGTTCATCAGTTCCGCCTATCCGTGCTGCCCATCAGTGCCGCCTAGCAGTGCCCATCAGTGCAGCCTCATCAACGCACATCAGTGAAGGAGAAAAATTACCTGTTTGCAAAATTCTATTATAGAAACAAAGAAACTTTTTTTTTTTTTGCTATTTTTTTGTTTATAGCGCAAAAAGTAAAAGACCCAGTGGCAAGAAATACCACC